CTCGTAGAAAAACCAAGTTCTTTCACACATGCTTCGGATATAAAAGAATGTGTAGCTCCAGAATCAAATAGCACACACACACATTTTTCAAACAGAATACAAGTATCTTGGATTAAATTACCTGACTGGGTAGCTTCCACGCCAGATAATGCAAACACTCGGTCAGTTGCCCGAGGCTTCTCACCATAAGCCTTCTTTTGTTGTGATATGCTCCCTGACTTTTTCTTAGGGCAAGTATTCGCGAAGTGTCCTGGTTTATTGCAAATGTAGCATCTTCTTTCCTCTATCTTCACTTCAACCAGATTAGGGCAATTACGCTTGAAGTGAGCACTGCCACATTCGAAACATCTTACATTTCTTGGAGTAGAATGCTGAGGTCTATCATATGGTTTCTTTTGTTGTCTGCTTCCAGAGAAGCTTCCCTTCTGAGTCTTGAAAACACAGTTAGGGTCCACTTGAAATGTTTTACTGTCTTAGCCTATTCCACTAAAATCAGAAACTCCCTGATCCTCATCGACACAATGACCTTCGCTAGCTCATGTCTCAACCCCCTCTCAAATTTGCGGCACCTCCACTCCTCAGTCACATTCTGGGTATAGAACCGGGTCAGATATTCAAACCGGTTCACATAGGCTTGCACAATCATCTTTCCTTGCTGTAGCGTAAAAAATTCTTCCTCCCTATCGAACTTAGCACTATCAGGGAAGAACTTCTCCAGGAATATCGCCATGAAATTGGTCAAATTAACCGCTTCACCACGGCCTTCCATCTGTTGCTGCATATTATTCCACCAGTATTCAGCGTCACCCATAAGAAGAAATGACGCATAAGTCAACTTTTGCTCTTCAGGACAAGCAATAACCCTAAAGATCTTCTCATTCTCTCGAATCCAAGCATCCGCTTCATCAGGTGTGGCATTCCCATTGAACTTGGCAGGATTGTGCCTCATGAAATTTTTCATGCTAACCTGATTCCCAGGTGCATTGTTGGTGTTTTTCTGCAGAATCGCATCGACCATTTGTTGGATGACCAGTGCAATCTCATCAGCGGGCTGGGCAGGGTTCAAAGTACTTGGTCCACGACGTGCCATCTGGACCATATACATCAAGTAAAATAAATCGGCCTAACAATATAAGTATTTCAATCATCCAAGGCACACAAAATATATCACCCAAGCATCACAAGCACACAATCTAACCACATCAGAATTTACCAGCATCATTCTCACTCACAGACTCTTCCAAGGAGATCCTGCAATCAAAGCATGCACAAAGCACACAATAGAAAAGCATCTAGCTCACTTCCCCATAACCCAAAATTTAAAAAAAAAACTGAAAACTTGGCTTTGATACCATTTGTAACGCCCCAGCCACTTGTACAGATTTGCTAACTATCCCCACAACCCAACACGAGACTTTCCAGTGTGTTTTGTCCTCACTCACACACTTTCTGAGAATTTCCCAAAAGGTCACCCATCCCACAATTTCTCCAAGTCAAGCACACTTAACTATGAAGTTATTATGTGATAGGCCACTAAAAAGTAAATGCATTTTATTAGTATAGGTAATACCAATCAATTCTCTTAAGTTATCCTTCAACTGTATAGTCTCATACCTATATAGCCTCTGGATCCCTCTGCTTCGAATGTGTTTCATTTCATTCATATGACCCTTCCGCTGGAAGCCTGCCAGGAGCCGCTCCTTGTCCGTGCCTCAGCGCCCGGGATGTCACACTTTGCTGCTTCAATTTTCTTGACCCTTTGTACTTGCCCCATCCTCTGAATTGATTTAGGCATCCATGTCGAATCAACTCCTCTATATGTTGTATCAACATGTAAAATTTTTTTGTGTTATGACTCCATTTTCAATGGAACTCACACCAGGAGTCTCGATTAGGACCTAACTGTCTATCCATCCTTTTAAGGTAGGTAAATAGTTTCGCAGTGTTAATGTCCTTCAACAATTTTCTATTTGCTAGCTTGAAAGGGATTTGTATGTTGTTATCTAACCTTTGATTTTCTTCCTTGAGTCGGGCATATGGGACGTTGTACCTTTGGCTAGTCTCGCAATGCATATTGCTCCTCCTCCAGCTATCCTCCTAAGTCTTATGCTGGGAGTTAACCCTCCTTTCTTTGCCCTTTTGCAACTCATGACTTCTTCTGCTTCTATGTGCGACGCGACTTGGGATATAATCTTTGACATAGTTTTCACTGATCTTTGAATCAGAGATTCCCCAAAAGGGCTTGATCTTAAGCCCTTTACAATAACATCAATGAACATCTCTCATCGGGTTGTGGTACTGATGTGGACATAAAGGCCCAAGCCCATAACGAGAATGATCAAGACCAAGATCTAATCCAAGACTTAGGTGGACCTATGACAAGAGGCAGGCTCAGAAAAGCACAAGAGGCATTGCAACACAAAGTGACCAATTTGCTAAAGGCCCAACTATTAAAAGCTCCAAACATGGAGGAGTCTAGTCTTATCACATGCATAAAATGTTTGGAGAGTTAGGAGACCCAATTAGAAGATTTAGTTATTATTTTTTATTATTATTTGCTACAATGGGGATTTGAACCCAAGATCCAAAGCTTATAATGTCTTCACTGAACCATCTAGGCAACTTAACTTTGTTTGGAATATTAGGATTTTAATTTATCTTTATTTCCTGTAATGAGACAAAATCATAAACTTAAGTTGTATTAAACATTTGGAAATTCAGAAGGAACGTACGTAATATTCAGAATCACTTTGTGAGTTGTTGCTCTGTTAGGGTTCTTCCTTGCATCACTTGTGGCGATCCTTCTTGTCTTATCAAATATTCTTATTTGTGGTGCCTACGGTATCCTTTATGTTTTTCCTGTTTTCTATTTCCAATCAAATCAACTCTTAAAACCTAACCCTAAATTGTTTCCCTTCTATTCGAGTGTCGTTAGGCACTTTCACCCATACCTCACAAAAGTAGCTCAAGTACTTTGTGGTCTAATGTTTTGCATCAAATAGGTCACTTAGCTTTTGCGACTTAAGTCTATTTGCCATAAATTGAGTCACAAATAAATTTTACAAATTCTTGAACGACGCTATGACTCTAGTAGGTAGGCCACTAAACCAATATAATGTCATTACAGTGAGTGTACCTACAAACATTTTGCATTGTACTCTGTTTGATCCTCCACTAATTATCATTCGTGCCTTGAACGTCTTTAAATGGATCATCATATCATTTGTCCCATACAAAGGGTTTATCTTTGATAGTGTGTCGAAATTGTCACTTCTCTTTTACTCGTCAATAGTTGTTAGAGGCTTTGCTGAAACTTCTCATTCTTTTGACATAAATGTTCTTGCTCGATCTGAGCCTCCTCGACCCTTAGTTAGACCTCTTCATTTTGCTTCTGTAATTGCTCCATCATGAATACCATTATTTGCGTCTTGTGATTGTTGTCTTCTCCCACAGGTTGGGAATTTGTTTGAGTGTTGTGCATGATTCTTCGTTTTTCATGTAGTGGGAAAAACAATTTTTTACCTTTTTTCCCATAGGTGATGCCAAATATTGCTACCTAAAAATTTTCGAATTTTGACCATCTATGATTCTTGTCAAGTGAACCTGCCTATGTTCTAACCCTAATGCCCTTTTAATGGGTTATTCGACTTGGATCCAGGATTCCCTAATTAATGTTTTATATTCAATTATTATTAATTATGTGAATTCCTTGATAACAGGTGTGATACAAGGCGGAATCTCCATAATCACACTCTTTAGAAAGAAGATCTCGCCGTAATCAACCCAGGAGGTTGGTTAGGTGACAAGGTAGCTTATTTGGATATAGTAACAATATAACAAAAATCAATACTTATGGTTAGTATTGGAGGTACATATGATTTTTTTTCCTAAAACAATCTTACAATAATTTTAAAAAATTACAAAAATAATTGGTACACATTACAACTTCCATTTTTCTTATCTTTATAAATTCATATAAAATAACACATTCGTTTAGACATCCTAAAGGGAGTTTTTAGTAACATTTGTTTAGGAATAAAAATAAATATTTTATTATGAATTTCATACATGAATGGTTTAAAATTTTGTTGGAGTTGCTTATACAAATAATTTTCTTCTAATTTTAAGCCATGTATGAAATCTATAATAAAATGTTCATTTATTCTAGTTGTTAATAATTTCCTATAGATATTCTCTTGGCATAAACCCAAACAAACATTTTATTTTCTTTTGCCTTTTTTTTCAATAAATATTAATAAACATTATCATTTTCTTGTAAGCATGAACATTAATATCATTCAATACGTTAATCAACTTGCATAAGATTCTTTTCACTAAGTTAACGATAGTATGCAATTTAGAAAAAAAAATTATTTTCACTATTATTTGTTATATTTATCTTAAATCAACTTGTTCAAGTGGTATATAAAATGATTTTGTATAAAAAACTAAATTCTTTTGTCATAAAAATTATTAGAAAGAACAAGAAGATTGATTCACAACTTTTTTTATATAAATAATTATTAAACAACCTCATCTAATAATATAATATTAAATTTTAATTATATTTTTATTCATTTATAATTATTATATTCATAGAGAGAGTTGTTTAATAAATATTTTGTTTTAGAGTGATTATCATCCATCATTACTTTATTAGAAAATGATTTTAAAATCATCTATTTTGTTGTTAAGAGATTTTTAATTCATTCTTTCGTATCAAAGAGTAAATATAATATTTATAAATGATATTATAACTAAACCTTATCACACTATACAAAATAAATTATTATTTCTTTAAAATAAGCATTATAATTCAGTAGCCATTATAAAAGAATAACTAGAACTGCATAAACATTATTTATTCTAATGCACATAATTAAGCCAAAGCATTCCTACAAGGGTTCAGAGATTCTGCTAGAGCATCTATCACTTGTCATAGGACTTTGACTTGATTGGTATCCCTTTCCATTTTTCACATCTTGTGTTGGACAACCAAAATGCATAAGGATACCACATATCCTTTAGCCATACGCAATATGCCTGAGATGGTTTCTAGTTTGATAGAAGAAAAGTTTACAAAAGAAAATATGCCTTCATTGCTTTACATCCCCCAAATATGCCAAAGGAATTTGTTCTGTTTCATTAGATGGCTTCTCTCACACTATAAGAGAAAGGCAACAAAACTCTCTCTTCACCAAAGCCTCACAATTGTTCATTTTTCCTAGCATACATGACTAGTTCTAACAAGAGGCTTGAGGTTCAAACAGAAGATCAAACTCCACATAAATGGTGTGTTTCACTGGGAGAAGAGCCTTTCAAAAGATTCTTCAGCCAGACTAATCCAGCAGTGCATAAGGTTTTTGGTGATGGATCACTTTTCAGTCCACTGTTATTTGGGAAGTTCTTTGATCCTTCTGATGCCTTCCCTCTATGGGAGTTTGAGTCAGATGTATTGTTATCTCATTTAAGGAGCTCCACCCAAAGCACTGTGCATTGGTGTCAGACAGGTGAAGGCTATATATTAAAAGCAGAAATTCCAGGTAAGACAAAGCTTTTCAATTACCCTTATTTTTTAAACTGAATATATGTTAAACAAATTATGATACAATCAAACTTCCCCATCATTTTTAAAGACCTGAAAAAAAAAATTTGGATCTTAGAATTGGAGGAACTACTTAAATTTGCAGCACCTAAGGAGAGCCTTTACCTTGCATCAAGAATTTCTTAACTTGTACCAACAGATAGTAACCTATGAGTAGATAACATAAGGCACTATTAGTGTAATTCTGTCATCTAACTATATCTAATTACAAACTATCATGTTTGATAATTACTTTGTAAGTCATATTATGAATAATTGGTAGCGGGTTAGCTGATAGTGTAAACTACACCAACTCAGATCAGTACATGTTTATTAAACTTATAACCTATAGTACACTGGATCTTTCAAGCAAATAACCAAATAAATGAACTTGAGCCGTTGGAGTTGATGGGGCCAAGTTTCCTTAGATTCAATTAAGAAAAGTTCTTAACTAGACAAAATTTCTGTGACACCAGTGGTTTGTCAAAACAGGAACTGGGAAAAATAACATTCAAGTCCTTGTTGATAAAGGGAAGGTTGTGGAAATTAGTGGACCGTGGAAGCAGCAAAGAGACTCAAAGGCACATGACTGGAGGTGTGGCCCTTGGTGGGAACATGGATATGTGCGCAGGCTTGAGATGCCAGAGGATGCAGATTGGAAGAATATAGAAGCATACATACATAATGACATATACTTAGAAATACGAATTCCAAAGAGCCAACAGGGTCGTGATCTTCCTCAGGGAAAGGATGTGGCTTAAACATGCTGAAAGAAGCAGTGTAAATGTAACAGAATAACTGGTAGAGCTACTGGAGTTTGTCACAATCTAGTAGCAACTTCTATGCAAATTGATACCAAACATTTAACAAAGTTATAAGTCTCAAATCTCAAACTAATATAAGCCAGGATTAGAAGGCCTTCTGATTATGTATAACATATATGCCAAGAGAAGGGAATAAAAAGAAATTGTCGTCTATAAAATGCAATGATTTATTTATTTAATATTAGAGTTGTTTATTGATTAATGATTGACAATGATCATTGAAAGACGAACAGATGACTTTAATTAAGCAGTTAAGTTGGGAGGATCTGAGGAATAGCAATGCAATATCATGTATAAAATCCTGATTCCCATAACCATAAATTTCTATTGAGAGTTCAAGTTTTTCAGATAAAATTCATAGAAAAATAGTTGAAATCCATACTACATGAAAGAATGCTGTTTTGTTGGTTGGTCTAAAAATTCATAACTTTGTAAGTAATTGGTCTGTAGAAGCACAGATTGGTGAGAATCATCTGATAAACAGTATAGAAAGATATTAGTGAAAGGTCATCCCCAATTTCTAGATGCACAAACAACAACATTATATAACAAAATTATACGTGCTTGAAGTTACATAAACATTTGTTTGATTAAAAGATGCAATGGAAAAGTAGGCACTTCTCATACTTAACTCATTAACATATATATTAATATGACAATTCAATTGTTCATGCATATTGCAGGAGATATTCATGTTTGAGTAAATGGGTTGGTTTTAAAAATTTATTGTTGTTTGAATGTTGGCCTCATGACATTTAAAGGAATTATAATCCAACAGTTGTTTTACTGGTAAAATTTAACAAGATTAAGCACCACAGGACACATGTTTTCTCCTAATAATCTCTTGCATTGTCTTCAGGGCACCTAGTTTTACTTATCCATATGCAACTTAAAGGAAACATTATTTTGTTGGTAATAAATGATGTGATATAGAATAACAGACATAGAAAATGTTGTATGAATAACACAATTCTAAATATATTATCAAATTATTTTTATCAGTATCTTGCAATTTTCTCCATCTCATTTAACACGGGTCAATAATTCATTATGATGGTCAATCAAGCATTCAAAATTGTGCCCTCATAGCAGGTGGCAACAAAGGAAACAAGATAAAAAACAACATGACAAACACTACTCATCCAAATTTATATGATTCACAAATTGCAAAATAATGACGACTTTGATGAAGGATTGGACCCAATCAACATGAAAATTGAAAGAATTATCAGAATATAAGTGAAAGCCAGAAAACTCCATGACAACCCTACAAATATTTACATGAAAAATACCGTGCATGTATGAACTATATATAAGATCTTAATTGTGGACCCTAAACACTGGTGCATAATTAAAACCTCACACTAACACACCCCACAAAAATGGTAAAAAGAGAGTGAAATTTCATCTGTTTTGTGGGCACTTGTTGAAGAAATAGAAGGGAAATGTAGCAACTCTACAGCATAAACAGCTTAAAACTTTTTATGAGAAGTGTCCCATGCTTCCAACCTTCTCAATCAAGAGGGCCAAATAAACCAGGTTGCGTTTGATTCATGAAATATAACTGTGTTTGAGCCAATTTTTTCCTGAACATGTAAATGACATTAGTTGGACACACTTTCGTGTAAGCCTTAAACTTTCTAAAGACACATTTAATGGCTTGCCAATGACTCAGACAGAGACAACTCAACTGTTTCGTGTAAAAAAATCAAAACGAAGAATTCTTTGGCGAAAGCAATGTTACTTTTCAACTTCTTCAACAAAATTTAAGAAATGTTTCCAACACCAAAAGGAAGAAAAAAAAATGGAGATGCGGGGTATCGATCCCCGTACCTCTCGCATGCTAAGCGAGCGCTCTACCATCTGAGCTACATCCCCATGTTGTTAATCTGATCATTCTTAAATTAATAATCTTTTCAATCAAATGTGTTGAAAGAGGTTGAAAATATATAAGAATGACACAGTTCATACTTAAGGTAATGAATGGAATAAGAAATCCTAGATTAATTAGTGAATCATCACATAAATTTCCGTGCAGATGCCACTAATTTCAAATTTAATCTTGAATTTTGAAATGTTAAATCTAATTGTATGCCCGCGATGAAGACAAATTTGTAGTTTCTGCATTTGTTTTCATCCGATGTAGTTTTTAGTACTTTTGAATGCTGATGAGCATCTCTTTGGAGAAGAATATTTTTTATGATTACGTGTGCAAACTTGTTTTGTTTGACTCTTTTAACACATTTTTTTCTCTTACTAAATTTAGTAACATATTATTATGTTTGGTCCTTTCAAAAAGTGTTTTTTTTTTTTTCTGCTTAATTTAACAGTAACTTATTTCAACTAAAACAACAATGAATTACTTTTGAATGTTATTTTTTTATTGGTACTATTTATTGAATAGTAATAATAAGTACAATTATTCTTTATTAAAAAAACCAATTTATAAATTAAGACAAAACTTAAGATCAAGTCCAAAATTAAAGAGGTAAAATATCTCATGTGTACAATGGTTACAAACAGAGGATTCCAATTTCCATGTTGGTATTATGATCCAGGTGCAAAACTTTCAGATGGTACAAAATGTGCTTCAATTAGGTCAACAAAGGTTCACCTTTCATTGTAAAGTACAAGCTATGTTTCAGGATAATCTTCAATTCATGACACTTGGAGAAGCCACTGTGCAGATTAGTTACTGCAGGCTAACAAGTGCAACAAAAAATCTCTACTTTAGTTGATTTAAATTTTAATTAGTCTACTCATTTTGTCCCACACTAACTTTGAATTGTTAAACTAACATTAACCCCAAAAGCTAAAGTGAGTAATCAAAATCATGTGAAAAAGTCAACTGGCCAAACACAAAAAAATAATAATGATAATAATAATGCCATAACATTAATAAGCACTTTGTTATATGTAGAAACTTATTTGTGACCAATAGCTTTGTATAATACACCAAAATGATAATTACAATGTCAATAATTATTGGTAGATGAATGAGGCTACGAAACAATAAATATCAATAACTTAACAAGCAATCATGTAGTTATTATTCATCACACCTAACTCATATTCATGGCTACATATCCAACTAAGACTTGGTAATTAGCTTTCAGAAATTTATAACCTTTCCACATACTTAAGAATCAAGCACGGAATTGCTTCACAAACTAGCAAAGGAAAATTACATACCCTGCTTATTCTTATTTCCATGTTTAGTAAAAAATAAGATCTTGTGGATTCCTTAAGCTTTTTTATAATAAATATGATGGATGTGATCGTAATTGTAATTATATAATAGTGTTATAGTCTTAGTCTCAGTCTCAGACATACTTCTGTAGTTAAAAACTTGAAAAAACCAAAAGTTTCTGCACACTTTTCATTTGTCGTAACAGAGACCAATATTTAGTAAGAATTGATGCAAAGCAAGAGGAAGCAAATGGTGTGTGATTGATCTGGTATTCCCTTGTAATTTTGCCGACAATCCCTTGTTGCCAAAGGGCAAGATCCGAACATCTAGAGTGAGATTGTGACAGAAAGAATTTTGAGCTTTATTCTACTAAACATGGACAATGATGTCCACTATGTCATTATTGTAGCAATGCAATGCAATGCAATGAGCACGCATAGGACAAAACTTTTTTTTTTGGTTCAGAGAGAGAAGAGGATAAGAGAATTGTAGAGGCATAGTTGAAGAAGAAGCCTCACAGAAAAGAGGGGTCATAGGAAAAGGACAAGGAATGCAGGTGAGTACCAAGAACAAGAAGTGAATGGAAACACCACCAACAAACAACAACTTGATTTGAGTCATGCATGCTACCTTCTTCACTGTTTTACTTTTCATAACTTGGCAGAAAGTGCAAATGAAAGTGAAAATTCTTAACTCTCTTCTGACGCAACTCAAAATAATTGTTTAGTGGCTTTGGATTGGGTAAGGATTTGGACCAAGTTCTGTTGGATCCTGCTACAGCAGTGAAATCAATTAATAATGGTGCTTGATTTATTCCTTATTTATTTATTTATTTAAAGAATGTTGAAGTAGATCTTATTTATTTGTTTGTGTGCTCCTTTATTTTGGGATCTATCTGATTTTACCATCAAGAAATTGTTAGTGCTTATTAAGTCTAATTTAGATGCTGAGAAAAAAAAAATTATAAGAAAAAAGTAATTTTTTATATATTATCTGGGTTAAAGAAACGTGAGATACACAATAATTAGCACTTCTACGTTGAATAATTAAAGGATTGTTACCATTGTTTTTCAACACAACATTTCGTATTTATGAAGGTAAATTCAGTGCTACCAAACCATCACCATCATGCAAATATTTTCTCCCATGTCTAGTACACGTCCTTTTCAAATTGTTCAAGTCTTCATCAACACCTATTTAATAATTTAATAATTTTCAGTCTAATCCTCATCGTAACCGATACGTATGGTTAGTATTGGACATGTATACCATTTATTTTCCTAAACAGTTTTACAATAACTAAAAATGATTACAAAAATAATTGGTAAAGCCTACAATTTCCATAAGATTTCTTTTACCTAATTTAACAATGGTTTTTTTTAATAAATACTAATAAACATTATATCATTTTTCTTATAAGCATGAACATCATTATCATTCAACTTGCATAAGATTCTTTCCACTAAGCTAACGATAATATGCAATTTAGGAAAAAAAAACTTTTCACTATTATTTGTTATATTTAATCTTAAAACTTGTTCAAGTGCTATTTGGAATGATTTTGTATGAAAAATTAACTTAATTTTTTTTTCATTAAAAATATTAGAAAGAAAAAGAAGATTGATTCACAACCTTTTTTTATATAAATAATTATTAAATAACTCATTTAATAATATAATAATAAATTTTATTTTATTTCAATAAATATTTTGTTTTAAAGTAATTATCCATTTATCATTACTTTATT